CTGAGTTCTCTGATCAGCTGACACGCCCTGCATAGTATCCTTGGAAGCTCATGTCCATGACTCATTAGAGATCCCCAGCCAGTATTCAGAGCCTTTCACTCTTTAAACAAATATCCTCACTTGAGGATGGATGTTTAGAGTGAGTGGAAGGGTGGAGGGGAAAGGAGAGAGAGAGAGAGAGAGAGAGAGAGAGAGAGAAAGAGAGAGAGAGAGAGAGAGAGAGAGAGAGAGAAACTTTGACATGAGAGAGACATATTGATTGGTTGTCTCTTGCTCACACCCTGTCCAGAGCTGGAGATTGAACCTGCAACTGAAGTATGTGCCCCTTAACAGAATCGAGCTTATGACCCTTTGGTCCATGGGTTCACTGAGCAAAACAAGCCTGGCAGAGCCTTTCACTTCTGTTTTAAACACAGTTCTATCAAATCTGGCCATCTCGTCTTCACTAGGAAAGGGTGAGGAGCATCTTCTAGATAGAGGCACACTATTCCCAGTGAGAAATGACAGTGTCCATTCAGCAGCAAGCAAGGAAGGGAAAGAACTATAAAAACAGCCCTGAGCTCAGTGTCTCCTGAGAAAAGTGGAAATCCCTGCAGGGGGAAGGCAGCCATATCCAGCCATAGTAGACCTTGTCATAGTAAACATTGTTCATTACAATAGTTTATGTCATAAACACGTCAATGAATTATCAAGAGCAAAGATTTAAGTAAGAACATGTTGGCATTCAATGCCCTGGGAAAATGTGTGTCTGTGAAATACATCCTTCCCACCAGCACTGGGTGAGTACGGCTGGTGCCCCTCACTTCATTTGGAACCTGGTGACTCCCTGTATCACTCCTTCTCCAAGAAGAAAGATGAGATAGGGCACTATAGAAACCTTCCCTTCCTTCCTTCCTTCCTTCCTTCCTTCCTTCCTTCCTTCCTTCCTTCCTTCCTTCCTTCCTTCCTTCCTTCCTTCCTGTCTAAATAGGAAGGGCAAGGGCAAGGTGGGGGTGGAGAGGCCCAAACCAGAGCAGCTCTGAGATCTGACGGCAAAGCTGTGAATGCCAGAAGGGCCTGTACTTAGGGCAGCGTTTGCAGAGGGTCAAGGAAGAGAGGTTTTCTCTCTCAATGTCAAGTCTGCCAGTGCCCTCCAGTTCTCAAAGGCCACACCCTGGCCCTCTGAGAGCTTTCTTGGAGAAAACAGTAGGTTGTGACTCATCCTTCGGGAAATGTCAGGATAGAAAGGTGCCTCCTTTGACTCATGTGCAGAGGGGCTGCCCCCAGTCAGCTCATCCAGTAATTGGTTGCCCTGAAAATATGCCTGGGCTGTGCCTGGAAGTTTCCCCCACTTGGCCTTTTAGCACAAGTCCATGGTTCAGGAGTGTCTCCCGGGGTCTTGAGCTGGGAATCCTGCTTTCTTTGGGACACAACAGTGAGGTGGGAGGCAGCAAGCTGGGCTCTCCTCTGTGCTCTGCTATTGGCATGCCAAGAGGTCCTGGGCAAATCCTTTCCCCATCATTAATGGGTCATCAGGCCTGTGCACTCCCCCCAGAACAGGCCCACGATGAGGAATAAAGAGCGCTTAGCTTTCTGGCAAAAAGTGTCTAATCAGCCGGGGTCATGCCCAGACATACTTGCTGGACACAGCTCTGGACCCAGCAAACAGAGTTGGACATTCTTGTTTGAAGCCCCACAAAGACTCCAACCTGGGAGGAGCCCAACAAGAACTTGTTTGATCTAAAAGAGGGGGCTCTTGAGTGCTGAGAGAACCAAGGGAATTTCTGTCTCAGAGGCTTCCTAAGGGAGCAGCATCGAAGAGGGAAACGGGCATAAAGAAATCCTATATAATAAAGAGGTAATATGCAAACTGACTGTTACTCCAACACACAAGATGGCCCCCATGTTGTCAAAGATGGCTGCCCCCATGTGGACACAAGATGACTGCCACTAGATGGCTACCAGGGGAGGGCAATTGGGACGGTCCAGGTCTTGGAGGGGAGGATAGTTAGGGGCCACCAGGCCTGCAGGGAAGGGCAGTTAGGGTGATCAGGCCTTCAGGGAAGGGCAGTTAGGGACTATCAGGCCAGTGGGGTAGGGCAGGTAGGGACAATCGGGCCAGTAGGGGAGCAATTAGGCATCAATCAGGCTAGCAGGTGTGCGGTTAGAGGGTGATCAGGCTGGCAGGCTGGCAGGCAGGGAGTCAGGCAGGGGAGCAATTGGGAGCCAGCAGTCCTGGAATGTAAGAGGAATCCCAGATTGAAGAGGGTGCAGGCTGGGCTGAGGGACACAGGGCCTCTAGTGTTTTGATAAAATAGGAGGACCTATCTTTATGGAGAAATGTTCTTTTTTAAAAAAATATATTTTTTTATTGATTTTATACAGAGAGGAAGGGAGAGAGCTAGAGTTAGAAACATCGATGAGAAAGAGTCATCGATCAGCTGCCTCTTGCACATCCCCTACTGGGGATATGCCTGCAACCAAGGTACATGCCCTTGACCGGAATCGAACCCGGGACCCTTCAGTCCCTAAGCCGACGCTCTATCCATTGAGCCAAACCGGTCCCGGTGGAGAAATGTTCTTAATATTAAGTTTCCCTGCTGTTTCTAGGAGAGATCTTATTTGTTTATTCACAAGTTATTTAATCGACATTAACCAAGCAAGATGAAGTAGGTAAAGCAGAGGTCTCACCTCTATGGAAAGGCAAATGGATGGGATAGTCTTTTTACTAATACCATGATGCTGAGTAGGTATCAGAGCTGGATTTAACTGGAAATTAATAATGTACGTTCTTCAGCTTCTGTGAAACTCTTTGCACTCTGTGTGAATGTTTGTCATCCCTATAGGATGGTGGGTGCTGTGGAGGGAATGCGGACAACCCAAACTGCTGCATGAACCAGAAGAAAGACCACACAGTGAGTCCTCTCCCTGGAAATCTGGGGGCCAATCAAACTTCAAAGGAGCCAGTGGTCTTGCTCCACACTCTTGGTAAAGGTGGCTGGAAGAGGAAACAGTTAAGCCTAGACTGAGAGAGTGGTGACTATGCACTTTGCTTTGGGTCCTAACCCAAAAGACCTTCTGGTTCCTGCATCCAGGAGCTGCCTGGGGGTTGTGAGTGAGCTAGCTTGGACCAAGGGCTGCATTGGTGCTATGGGGCATTTCAACGGGGAGATACTGTACCACACCTCTGTTCCCTTTCCCAGCAGATCACTCCCTCTCCGTGTTTATTCAACCCAGAGGAGTTCATGCCCTTGGATCCTACCCAGGAGCCCATCTTCCCACCCGAGTTGCTGGTAGGTGATGCCCCAAGGGAAGGCCCATCGAGGCTCTCTGCCAAAAGCCCCTGGAGACCTGCTTTATTTTATACCCCTGGGAACGTTGTCTTCTCCTTGTCCTTCAGGTCTCAGCCTGAATTTGGCTTCCTTTCTCTGACACCCAGGGGTCAAATCCCTCTTTCATGTGCTCCCACAGCGACCCACATTTCTCTCCTTTTCACATGTGTCACTCTGAGGACAGGAAGTGGATCTCTCTGCTGCCCTGTGTATCAGACATGCTACAGAAGTATCTGCTGGCCTTCTGGTTAAATCTAATGCATAAGCACCTAAGCAAATAGTTCATTAAACAAACAAAAACAAACAAATAAACAAACAAAGCTGGATTCAAAAGACACACCTAATGTCTTCAGCTCTGCTTTAAGGACACCTCTCACACCCCCTTTCTTCTCTTGATGATTTAGTTCCTTTGCCCCAATATGTAAGGCGAGGAAAGTGCATATTTCCCAGGGGCTGTTGACACATGAGGACTCCCTGAGTTCAAGGGCCAGAGAGAAGGACTGTGCAGAAGGCTGCCAGCATATCCTCCTCTAGATTGTGCAACCTTGAGACCATCAGTGTGATTTTGGGGTTTCTTTCCCCAGTATCATCCCTCCCTCATGCACTGAGTCCAGTTCTGCATTGCATTCCCTTTGACCACCCTTCCTTTGCTACTCTGACTCCACCCACACGTTGTCCACTGCTCCTCCTGGAGACAGTGGGGACAGTCCAGGTTGCCTTGTGGCTGGTGACCTTCGGCAGGTCACATGACTTCCTTAGGTTTCTCCCTCATCTGTACAAGAGGTGGTTTACAACGTGTCTTTCACTGAATCTTCGGATGGCTCAGTGAACTAATGTCACTGAGTAAGAGCTGCAACCTAATTTCTGCCTCCATTCATGCAGTTTTCTTCCCTTGTCTTTGACAAGTATTTTATTTCTGAAGTCAGTAATAAACAAGTCCACAGAAGAGTTGATCCCATGGTGGCCCTGAAGCGAGGGTCATGGGAATGGCGATGGGAATGTAGTGGAGAGAAGGAGATGGCTCATTGGAAAACGGTATTTTCCAGAGGCTGAAGGACACACCTCAGAAGCAGGTGCGTTTTGAAGGGGAGCGTGTGACCTGGATCCAGGCCTCCACCCTGAAGGAACTACTGGACCTCAAGGCGCAGCACCCGGAGGCCAAGCTGGTGGTGGGGAACACGGAGATCGGTAAGGACATGGGACGATGCAAAGGCATTTCCTTTTTACCTTTTCCCTCTATTGCCCTGTGGGCGAGGCTGGGAGAGGTGCTGTGTAACTGAGTCTGAGGAATGGGGCCAGTTTGTCCATAGAGTTTCTACCTTGATTAGCAGATTTGAAGTTTTTCTCTCAGATAATTTTCCTGTTTCTCTGAATGTTAAATGTTCGTGTCATTATTAGTTATATCCCAGCGCTAATAATAGCTCAAGTATTGAAATCTGCTCATGCCTAGCTCTGTAACTTGGGTAAGAAACTTAATCTCCCTGTGCCTCTGATTCTTCATCAATAAACAGAAAATCACAGCATCTTCCAGGGCTGCTGTGAGGTTAAATGAGTTAAAATACGTAGTGCTTAGGAGAGTTACTGACATACTTTAATGTCCCATGTTTTCTAATATTGCTCCTAAACACACACACACACACACACACACACCCCTAACTTCAGGCTTTCTGTTTCCCTCGAGGCATTGAGATGAAGTTCAAGAACAAGCTGTTTCCTGTGATCATCAGCCCAGCCTGGATCCCTGAGCTGAATTTTGTGGAGCGCGGCCCGGAGGGTAAAGGAGGTTCACCCGGGCCCCCAGAGGAGCTGGGATGGGTCCCATTGGAGGATGGAGGTTCTAAGACAACCTCCCCTTTGGGTCTGGTTGCCACCTGCTTATCCTGAAGCCGTCCTGCCCAGGGGGGAAGGGGCAACCTTCACCACCTTTCTCCATCATGGTAGGCATCAGTGGGCGAGGGCTGTGAGATCTCCAATAATATTCTCAATCCTGGCTACACCTTAGAATCACTCATGGGGTCAGGGGCTCGGGGTGGACAGGTGTGCTTGGGTGCTTTAGAAAAAATATATTCCAGGACTTTGCCCACAGAAACCTGATTTTATTGAGTGGAGAACCACTGGCTTAGTGAAAGAGCACTCTGGTTGTAGGACAAGAGGCCTGGGGTTGAGTCTGGGATCTTTCAATAGCTGTGTGGTGTTGGGCGAGTCCCTTAACCTCTCTGGGCCAACTTTTCTTCAACGGGTTAAGGATGAGAGTCCTGGTGCAGCCTCACTAGGTTGCTGCGAAGCTTGAGACTCTGTGTTTGAAAGTGTTTTCTGCGCTGGGCAGGGGATGGCTTATTCTGAGCACGTGTTCCAGGTATCTCCTTTGGAGCTGCTTGTTCTCTGGACTCTGTGGAAAAGACCCTGAAAGATGCTGTTGCCGAGCTTCCTGCCCACAAGACAGAGGTGTTCAGAGGTGTCCTGGAGCAGCTGCGCTGGTTTGCCGGGAAGCAGGTCAAGTCTGTGGCGGTGAGTCCCTGCACAGGGGCCTGAAGGGGATGGGTGCACAGGGGAAAGGGCAACACCAGGAGCCTCACACTTGAATGGGTAGAACTGCCTGAGTGTTTCTTAAAGATGCAGATTCCTGGGCCCTGCCTCCGAGATGCTGGCCTGGAAGGGCTGGGTGGAGCCTGCAGGTGCTGCTGATTCAGGTGGTCTGTGGGCCACTCCAAGTGACACTCACTTGGACTCAGTCCTCTCCATGAGGTTGGAGAGATGGGGCCTCCTGCCCACCCCCTTTTCCTTTCTGATTGGCCCAGGCTCTCAGCAGGTGGAGGAGAGATAAGTTAGAGAAAAGCCAAACCAGGGAGGGGCACAGCCTTTCTGCCCTGGGGTTAGAACCAGAGGTAGACCCCCTGAGAGGAGGCTGTCACAGTAAACCTCAGTCTCCCAGTTTGCAACCCTTGTTCCCACACAGTGCCATTTGAGGTCATGATTGTTGATGGTGTTGGGAGGAAAGCTATCCCTTCTATTCTATTATAAAAAAAAAATGGTTTTTAAAATTAAAAAAAATAAAGCAGAATAACCCACTCCATTCTCTACACCTTACCCCAAGCCCCGACCACTTCTGGGTGTATATGAGGAGATATAAAAAAGCAATCTCTACCGAGGCCCCAGCTCAGCGGGCATCTACTCCCAGGGAGGACTTGTTTTCCTCCTGCAGCTGCTTTCCACTCTTTCCTGGAGTGAGCACCCTGGGTCTGGTTCCCCCAACATTCTTTGCCAAGTTGCCAGGAAGCTCAGATCCAATTAGAACAAATCATTCATCCTTAAATCTTCCTCCTCTTTGTCCTTGAACTTTAACTTCTATTTCTGCTGTACTATCGCTTCTGTGATAAGCCACCTTAGCCCTTTCAGAAAAAGGATGGGTGACATGGTGTTGACTTGGGTTAACTGAGGGTGGTGCACTGACTGCTGCATTTCAGAGCTGGGCCCCAATGCCAGGCGGTCAGATCTCATGTTTAGCACGATGTTCGATGTTCTGACTATGGAGCTCTCACTGCACCGGGCTGTGTCTCCAGGGCTGGAGGTCGGGCCTCCCTCCACAGATGACACCTGTCATCCTCCTGCCCTGTGTTTGGGAGCCAGCTGGGTGAGCAAGGGTTTCTGAGCTGGGCTCTCACGCACGCTCTCTGCTTGTCCTAGTCCATCGGAGGGAACATCATTAACGCCAGCCCCATCTCCGACCTCAACCCGGTGTTCATGGCCAGTGGGGCCAAGCTGACCATCGTGTCTAGAGGTGAGCTGCCTTGTGTAGAGGGTCCTGGGGGAGAAAAGTCTCACAAGATGGGTTACTCCTGGAGAGACAGAGTCTAAGGACCAATGGCCCCATTGTCCTATGGTTTAGATTCCTGGAAGCTATAAGGGATCACTCATGGTGGGGGCCAGGAGAGCTGGGTCACTTCTTTATTAAGAATCCACAGCAGGCTCTGTCCAGATGCCTTATCTAGTGAGATGCTGGAGCCAGAATACACCAGCTCACTACAGTGGATCGGTGGGTTATCAGTGTTTCTGAAACATGGCCGTTATGAAAAATTAAGCTATATAAACGTGCAAGTTATACAAGACAGATTATATTAATGATATAGGGAACGAACACTTAAATTCACCACTTGCTAGTTATTTTACTTGTTCGATGTTCTGACTATGGAGCTCTCACTGCACCGGGCTGTGTCTCCAGGGCTGGAGGTCGGGCCTCCCTCCACAGATGACACCTGTCATCTTACTATTGTACAATAGTAAAATGACACCTGTCATTTTACTATTGTCTGTGCTGTTGAGGCTCCTTCCATTTATCTATCTGCAGTGGAGATGCTATGTAGTGGTGCTAATATGCATCCTTCCTTGTCAGAGGGGCCCCAGCACCTCCCCTGGGTTGATGACTTGCCAGGAGGACGCACAGGCTCAGTGTATAGTCATGCTCATGGCTAAGACTCACTACAGAAGGAGAAATCAGTAAAATCAGCACAGGGAAAGGCACACGTTCAAAGTCCAGTGGAAATCTGACATAGCTGCCAGGGCCTCCCAGTGGATCACACAGGAGGAGCTTGACTCCCCCACAGCAAGCTCCCCATGAGAAGTGCAGGTGGCCAGAGAACTCCTTATGGGCTCAGCACCCAGAGGTCTAACTGGGGGATGGCCACACAGGTCATACCAAAGTTCAGAGGCCCAGAAGGAAAGCAGGTGTTCTGCACAAACCCTGTTGATTTTACAAACCGTGAGCCATTCTTATCAGGGAATGCTAGGAACCCTCTGGAGACCCACGTACCCAGAGGACACCAATGGCTCACCTTGTAAACAGGCCTTTCAGAGGGCCTGCTGACTCAACTCTGCCACGCTTTTTCTAGCTCCACATCAGTAAAGTCATTCTGGTAGTTTGAAATGAGCTCTGGTGGGAGTATTTATACCATAGACAATAGCATACCAAGGTTACACCCCAGCAGCTGATGGTTAACCATTCACCAGCGCACCATTGCTGAAGGATTTCAAATGGAGGGCCTTGACCCCAGCTGAGCCATCCACTCCCTTTGACTGTGGGCATCAGAGACCCGGATGCAGAAGACCACTGGCCGGGTTGTCCTGGGCCTTCTCACATCAGTCCATCTTCATCTTGCCTCTGTACAGGCACCAGGAGAACGGTTCCGATGGACCACACCTTCTTCCCTGCCTACAGAAAGACTCTGCTAAGTCCAGAAGAAATACTGCTTTCCATTGAGATCCCCTATAGCAGGGAGGTAAGATGCTGGGCCCAAATCACTCCTACACCCACCAGGCTCCAGACAAGGAGAGCAGAGTTGGCCTCAGGACCAACCTTAGCATCTCTCAACTGTAACACTGATGCTCTTGTCTCTGAACTTTGCCTTTGACCAGCCGTATTCCTCTCTGGACAATGAGAAGTTTTAGAGTAGGGAGCATACCTCATGGACAGAAGCTAGATGTGTGATCCTAAGTGAGTCAGTTTACCTTTCTGAGCCCCAGTTTTCCCACCTGTGCAGTGGGCATGATGTTACTTACTGGGAAGGCGATTGTGAGGACTGAAAAATAATTCTGTGTGTTCCTGGTGGAGCTGGTAACTAGCAACACAGTTTCAAGGACACAACCTGCTGGCGAGTATTCCTCCCCAGGTCAGAGGAGACTTGATTTCGTCAGGTGAAGTGTGGGGCTTGTTTGCTAAGGGAAGCAGCTGCCTGTCAGTCGGACCTTCACATGCCAACCTTGGGCCTGACAAGGGTTTACTCACTGACCTTGCTCTGGGTAGATGACGGTTCCAGCTTGTTCAGCAGATCAGGGCGCCTCTAGCCGCCTTGCTCTTGTTCCTCGGTACCTGTGGTGGCTTCACCTGGCGTGACTCTGGCCTCTCTCAGCAGCACATCATTCCATGATGGGACTTGTAGAAAATCAGAAGCTGGGGAACCAGCAATAAGAGAGCATATTAAGGGTTTTCCACAGCTAGTGTTTGAGTGTTACAAGGCATGTTTCATCCTGGCTAATTTTAACCTCTTTAATGAAAATGCTAATTAAATTAGAGCAATTACATCCCTGGTTTCTTAATGGTGCTCTAGCTCCTTCTTATAGACCATTTTGAGCAGTGATTCCCAGAGTTTTGTATTTCATAGATTGGTTAAAAAATATTCAATTATGCAGTTGGGAAAGGAGGCAAGAACAGGCATAGAACTGCTCAGTGTTTATTTTGCCAGACAAGGGACATAAAATATCTCTCCTTAATGAAAGGACATGTTAACACCCAGGATTAGGAGGGATTTCTCAAGAAGGAACAATTGAGCTGACACTGACATTTCCTGACTGGCTCAGCCCTGGACCAGCTGGAACCTCTGTCCCATGACAACTTCAAGGTCTGGGCTCATGGCCCCAAGGCCTGTCTGGCACCAGAAAGTGGAATCAGCTTTAGCATCAGGAGGGTCCTCTATGGCTTCTTCAAACAAAAGCCTGTGGTCATTTCGGACCTCAGCAGTGGGTCTCCTGCTTTCTCCAACAGCCCTTCCCTTACACCTTCCCGCTGGGAGGTGGATCCGAGTTTTGCTGCCAGGGTGAGTTCGAACCTCAAGCAGAACCTGACACAGAGAGGGCTGGATAGCACAGGGTCCTTACCTGGAAAGCAACTCACACTTTCCTCCTGTCCCCAGGACATGGGTGATCAAAGCACAGAGGCAGCCACTGCCTCATAGTGCGGTTCGTTCTTTCGGCCAGGAGGCCAGATTTCTAAGCACTGCCCGTAGGCTGGTGGGAGAGCTGGTTAGGGAGCCAGTGAGGAGGCTGCAAGCTGCAGGCTGTTTCAAACACTCCTGGCATTTCTCTGTATCTGCTTGAGAGGCAGTCCAGCCAACAGAGTTTTCGGTACAGCCCCTAAGAGGTCATGTGCTCTGATATTGGGCACCAGAATGGGGAAGGTTCTCAGGCCTGAGGGGTCTTGGAGGAGACTTGGTGAAAACACTCTTACTTCTTTCCACTGTTGGGTTGAGAGCATCCCCTTCTTCTTTGCCCCCGACTTTGTTTCCTGACTAATAGAGAGAAGCCCTGACTCTCCCAGTTTTGGGGAATGCTATCTGGAACTTCTGAAAATGTGATGGTTAGGCCTCAATCATTGATCCCTGTCACCAGCTCCTTGCTGATGTGCAATGGTATTTTCTCCTCACCTCACCTCATATACTGTGTTTCAGGCTCACCATTTGCAGTCCTTGCAAAACAGGGTGGGAAACTGGTGCCTTCCTATTCTCTTTCAGGGCGAGTTTTTCTCAGCATTTAAGCAGGCCTCCCGGAGAGAAGATGACATAGCCAAGGTGACCTGTGGCATGAGAGTCCTATTCCAGCCAGGAACCACACAGGTGAAGGAGCTGGCCCTTTGCTATGGCGGGATGGCTGACAGAACCATCTCAGCCTTAAAGACTACTCGGAAGCAGCTGTCGAAGTAAGAGCTTACAGCAAAACAGCCCTGCTGCTGATATTTGCTACTGCTCCTCTCCTGTGCCTGTAGCAGTATTACTATTGCTGCTGCTACTACTATTAACATGGTTATTACTACTGTGATTTACTGCTATTACTAGTAGCATAATGACCAATAGTTTTACTGCTACTGTACAATTCCATTGCTGCGTCTGCTGCTACCATTTTTAACTGCTATTAATAGTACTACACAGCTACAACTATTATTACTACTAGAGGCCCAATGCACAAAATTTGTGCATGGAGCAGGGAATCCCCTCAACCCAGCCTGCACCCTCTCCAATCCAGGACCCTTTGGGGGATGTCTGACTGCTGACTGTCGATCCCTGGGATCAGGCCTAAATGGACAGGCAGACATCCCTCTCACAACCCTGGACTGCTGGCTCCTAATTGCTTACTTGCCTGCCTGCCTAGTTGCCTCCAACTGCTGGTCTGGTCTCCATTAACTGCCCACCTCCCACACCAGCCTTATTCCTCCTCCTGCCCACCCCCCACCGGCCTGGTTGCCCCCAACTCCCCCCACTGCCAGCCTGGTCACCCCTCACAGTCTCTCCACCAGCCTGAGCCTGGTCGCCCCATGCAGCCTGCTGTTCAGTCATTTGGTCATCCCACACTAACCCCCCTGCCTGTCTGGTCACTTCATTAAGCCTGCTTGTTCAGTCATTTGGTTGTTCCTCACTAACCTTTCTCCAGTCTGGTCATAGCAGTCTTCTTGTGAGGGCATGAGGGTTAATTTGCATATTACCCCTTTATTTTGTTGGATTGTTGCTTCTAGTGCTGCTATACCTACTAGTGATATCACTGCTGTTGCGGCTACTATTTCTTCTACTACTACTATTACTACTAGTGCTTTTGCTATTACTGTTACTACTACTGCTTCTTTTACAACTTCTATATTACTTCTGTTTCTACTACTACTATTACTATTGCTTCCACCAGTACTACTACTAGCACTGCATCTGCTATTGCTAGTATTACTACTACCAGTATTGTTGCTGCTGCTAATGCTGGTATTGCTATTAATGCTATTACTAGTGTTATACTATTACTGTGGCTACTAATATCACTATAGGTACTATATGGGGACAACTGAACCAAGCACTTCACTGGCACTGTCCTATGTAATCCTTTCCATACCTGTATGCATTGGTAGATCTTAATGTTGGAGTTTGGTTTCAATTCTTGGCTCCAACACTTACCAGATGGGTATAGAATAAGTCACCATGCCTTAGTTTTCTCACTGGAAAAATGAGTATAAAATTTCCCTACTATATATTTTAATTTAAATTTAAAATGATGTTTCATAAAAAACACCTAGGACAGTGTAAGAACTTAATAGACTTAACTATTGTTTTTGTGGTCTTTTAAAATTGGATCTGTTTTTAAAGAGGAGAGAGCTGAGGCTCTAGGAAGTAAGCAACTTGCCTAAAGTCACACAGCCACAAGTCTCTGAGCCAGATTTCAAACCGAGATTGACATGATTCTGTGCTCACCTGCACAATGATTCTGGGGGTGGGATGGGAGTGCTCTCTCACACCTGCTCTCCGGCAGTTTCTGGAACGAGAAGCTGCTGCACGAGGTGTGTGCAAGCCTGGCAGAGGAGCTGCATCTACCCCCTGATGCCCCTGGTGGCATGGTGGACTTCCGGCGCACACTCACCCTCAGCTTCTTCTTCAAGTTCTACCTGACGGTGCTTCAGAAGCTGGGCAAAGAGCACCCAGAAGATGTGAGTGTGGAGCCTGGGCAAAGCACTTTTGTGGAGCCCGGACTCTCTGCAGCACTTTTGTTTGGGAGTTGGGTAGCTGGTGTAGGTGAGACAGTGTTGTGGACCAGGTCATGAACTTGCTTCTTTCCTGTGGACATGAAAGGGCAGAGGAGCAAGGACCGGGGACATAGCCCAGGGAGCCACATGGAGATGGGATCCAACTGAGAGGCAGAGCCCTGGGCTGGGAGTCAGGGGCATGGGTTCTTGTTCCATCTGTGTCATTATCTCACGTGGAAACTTACATAGCTCACAACTCCAAGTCTCAGTTATAAAATCTGCAAAAGGGGGGCAAGTAGACCAGATGATCCTTTAGCCAAACAGCTGATACAACTGCGGTTTGTAGTTGGAATGGGGTACAGAGAATGATGAGAATGTGGAGCGTGGAAGGAGAATGCAAAGTGGGGCTTCTCCAGCCACTGCAAGGATGTGCATTCAGGAAAGGGTGCTGGCTGATGTGGACCCAGCTCCCTGGATGGGTTCACCAACAAGCACTTACTTTGCACCTTTTAGACAGTAAGATTACACTGGGCACCAGGGGGCAGCCAAGCATGGAGAGAGCATGATCAGTGAAGGCCAGTCTAGCATGATAACTGCTGAGATGGAGCCTGAGGAGCAAAGGAGGGGGGGCTTCACAAGTGTGGGGACAGCAGAGCCAAATTCCTCTTTTGAAAATCCTCACGAGGCAATGTTTTCAGATTATATAAGTAATAAAGACTTATTGTAGAAAACTTTAAAAATACAGAATTATATAAAAAAAATCACTCTCAAATCCCAGAGAAAATCACTGCTAATATTTTTGCTGCTGCTTCTGAACTTTCCCCTACATTTATCTGTCCATTTGTCTCATTCTGTTTGTTCTCTCTCTCTCTCTCTCTCTCTTTCTCTCTCTCTCTCTCTCTCTCTCTCTCTCTCTCTCTCTCTCTCTCTCTCTCTCCTTCTTTCTATCCATTAATATATCTATCACCTTAGATCTTTTTTATCTGGATATATCATTTTCTAAATAAATTTGAGGTCATGCTGCATGCAGTTTTATTTCCCCCTTGAGTCCATTGGGATTATATTATGAACATTTACCATATCGTTAATTATTTTCCACGGAATTGAGGAGGAAAGGAAGACTTTTCCAGGAAGGCCTGGAGGAGGATAGCCAACAGAGAGCAGCATGCTTAAAGGCAGGAAAGATGGAAGCCATTAGGTGTGTGGGTGGAAGTACGTGCCACTCATTACACAGGGGGCACAGTGGGGGCAGAGAGGCAGAGACTGTGAGTGAATACTGAGCTCTCAGAGGCCTTGGTCAGATGTTGAGACAGATCCAGCCAGTGTGAGAAGGAGTGTCCAATGAGGAGATGAGGGGAACAGTTGTTACCTTTACCAGTTGGGGGACAACCAAGGTTGGGGTCAATGATGGAAATAGTCAAGGTCACCTCTGTTATCTTGCCTCCACAGAAATGTGGCCAACTGGACCCCACCTTTGCCAGTGCCACCCTCCTCTTTCAGAAAGACCCTCCAGCCAACGTCCAGCTCTTCCAGGTGAGTGGAGACAGTGTGTGGCTAACATCAGGGGCCCTTGCAAAGTTCATCAGATGATGCTGACTACCGGCAAATGACTTACTTGAATTGCACGTAGGTGCTGAAAGCTCCGTACTGTTGTGCCTAAGTATCCAGGGAAGAAAATGGGAACTATGTTAATGTCAGTGAATCTATTTCCCCCTTTACTCACCTAAATTTCTCTCCTGGGATTACTTTCATCTTCACCTGCTCCTTAAAGGGAAATTTCCCTCCCATTTTATCTTTTCTGGCCCCTCTGTGGGACTAATATGCAGAGTCAGGAGTTCTCTGGATCATGTAAGCAAACAAAACAGAACAACAACAAAACCAACATTCTATCAGCAGAAGTTTTTTGAGAGTTACTGGCTAAAGAGTCAATTTTCCTATTATAGAAACATTTTGGATTCTGTGGGCTATTTAGTCTGTGTTGTAACTCCTCAGCTCTATCATTGTGGCACAGCCAGAGGCAATACACAGATGAATGTGTAGTGTTCCAATAACACTTTAATTATAAAAACAGGCAGTGGGTCAGATTTGGCCCACGGGCCACAGTGTATCACCCCCTGCACTAGAATGCAGTGTGTGAACTCTGGGGCCCGGCAGCCTGGACTGGAATCCAACTCTGCCATTTCATCACTTTGGAAGCTTAGACAGGATTCTCAATTCCTGTCTTTGGGTAAGCCAATTATTCCCACGATCTGGATAATGATGGTACCTCTTTCATGGGATAGTTTTGAGGATTGAATGTATCTGTAAAAGCAAATAGCTTCGGTAGTTCCTGGCATATAGTAAACATTCAATAAATATTGGCCATTACCAGTTTTACTTAAAACATGAAACAGAATTTTATTATGAAATGAACTCATGTTAGAACATTTTGAAAAATTTAGAAAAGACTAAAGAAGAAAATAAAATTCACCCCAAATCTTACCTCTAAGAGAAAAATCATTATTATATTTTTGTATACATACCATTTTTATGTATATATGCACATGTATATGCTATATTGATAACACATGCTCTTTTTAAAAATAAATCTTTATTGTTCAGATTATTACAAATGTGTTCCTCTTTTCCCCTTCTCCCCCAATTACTCCCCTCCACCAGGTTCCCACCCCACCTCTTTCCTTTTCCCATCCCCATTGTCCTCATCCATAGGTGCACAGTTTTTGTTCAGTCTCTTCCCACACCCCCACTCCCCTTTTCACTGAGAATCGTCAATCCACTCCCCTTTCATACCTCTGATTCTATTATATTCATCAGTTAATATTGTTCATCAGATTTTTTAATTCCCTTGGTTTTTAGATTCACTTGTTGATAGTTATGTATTTGTTGTTCATAATTTTTTCTTTATCTTCTTCCTCTTCCTAAATAACCCCCTTCAACAATTCATATAATTCTGGTTTGGCGGTGATGAACTCTTTTAGCTTTTTTTTTTAATCTGTGAAGGTCTTTATCTGGCCTTCGATTCTGAGTGATAGCTTTGCTGGGTAGTATTTTTGGCTGTAGGTTCTTGCTATTCATCACCTTGAATATTTCTTGCCATTCCCGTCTGGCCTGCATGGTTTCTGTTGAGAAATCAGCTGTCAATCGTATGGGTGTTCCTTTATAGGTAATTACCTGCTTTTCTCTTGCTCCTTTTAATATTCTCTCTTTGTCTTTTGCTCTTGGAATTTTAATTATGATTTGTCTTGGTGTGGTCCTCCTTGGATTCCTTTTGTTTAGGGTTCTGTGTGCTTCCTGGACTTGTAAGTCTATTTCTTTCACCAGGTAGGGGAAATTTTCTGTCACTATTTCTTCCAATATTCTTTCGGTATCTTGCTCTCTCTCTTCTTTTGAGACCCCCATAATTCTGATGTTGGTTTGCTTGAAATTGTCCCAGAGATTTCTTACACTATCTTTACCTTTCTGGATTCTCTTATCTTTTTGCTTCTGTGGAGGAGTGTCCTCTGGCTCTTTGTGTTCTAAATCTTTGGAAGATTCTTGCGATCTTCCAGTCTGTTTTTAGGACTCTGTGTAATATATATATATTTTTTATTTCAGACAATGTTTTCTTCTTTTCTAGTTGATCCCTTATTATTTCTAGTTGCTTCCTTTTCATATCCTCATAGGTCTCATTTATTTTATCAGCCTTTTTAAGGATATTCTTGAATAACCTTATAACTGTAGTTTTGAACTCAATGTCCAATCTTTTCTTTTCCTCCATCCCCTTCCTTTGTGTCCTGCCTCTTGTCTGCATTTTAGTTGTTTCCCTGATTTGATGGAATAGTTTTGTGTGCTAGGTGTTCTGGTAGAGCCCAGTAGCACAGCCTTCCCAGGTACCTGTGGTGGACAGTCTTGGTGTAGTCCTTTGTGGGCTGTGTGTGCAGTCTTGTTGTTAAGCCTTGCTAATTGTTGGTATCACTGGGAAGCGTTGATCTCCAAGCCAATTGGCTGTGAGGGGCAGCAGTGTCTGAGCTAGGAGGGCTTCTGTCCATGTTCTTTTTTTTTTTTTTTTTACTATGAAATTCAAATCATTGTTACATATACACATACACAGTGCTTTATGCCCTGTTACACTTAACATGCTCTTCCTTCCTTCTGACGAAAATTCTTCAAAAGTATATTTTCACATTGCATATTATTCATTGTACCCAATCCCCAGTGAAAGGACACTTAGATTCCTCTCTTATTTTTTTCTTTTTTTCGGTCCTGTATGGGGTGAGCCTGTGACCATGATGACGACTTAGTGTGTATATTTTTGTTTCCTTCTATTGTTCCCCTCCTGCCCCTCTGTTCTCACTCCTTAGGGTTGCTTTGCCACCTGGCCTGAGACTCCCCATAGTTTCCCTGAGCCTGTGAGAGAACAGTGTCTCCTCCCCGCCCCCAAGCTCAGCCTGACTGCTGGCCATGTCATTTCAGGAGGTGCCCAAGGGTCAGTCTGAGGAGGACATGGTGGGCCGGCCTCTGCCCCACCTGGCCTCAGCCATGCAGGCCTCTGGGGAGGCCATGTACTGTGACGACATCCCTCGCTACGAGAATGAGCTGACCCTCCGGCTTGTCACCAGCACCCAGGCACACGCCAAGATCAAGTGAGTGTAGTAAATACACTAGAAGAGGAGGGCACTGGGAGCAGCACTGGAAAGGTTCCTTGTCAGTCCAGAGGGGAAAATGGGGATCATCTTAAAACTACAGCCTGGAGAGGAGCCCTCCTTGGGTCTTACCATGGCATGGATGTGGGATCGGGGCTTCTTGTCATTGGTTTTTCCTCTGCTTGCTCTCCTATCCTAGAGAAAGATTGCAGAAATGGGAAACTCTTCCAGATCCCTGAAAAAAAGTTTGTTTAAGATGATATGGTTGCCAGCCGTGGAGTAAATTCATTTGCCTTTGCACTTGTCTTGAGCCCATATTGAGAATACCATGACATGCACTGTCTCCACTCAAAACAGCTTTGCTCTCTTCCAACCGTGTCTGAATGGGAGTGGGAGGGTGAGGCGGGAGGCTCTGAGGTAATGCAGTGAGGGGCTCTCCCTTCTGCTAGCACCTGGAAGGGAGTACAGTGGAGCATAAGTGGACCTGACATTGGCGCTCTTCACAACTCAACCTCAGTCCTATTCTCGCTACACTGCTCACTGGCTGGGTGACTTTAATTGTCCTGAGCCTGGCCAAGACCAGTTTGGCTCAATGGCTTGGGGACTGAAGGGTCCCGGGTATGGGAGGGTGAGGTAGGGGACTCTGAAGTAATGCAGTGATGGGGCTCTCCCTGCTGCCAGCCCCTGGAAGGGGGTGCAGTGGAGCATAAGTGGACTTGACATTGGCGCTCTTCACAACTCAACCCCAGTCCTATTCTCGCTACACTGCTCTCTGGCTGGGTAGCTTTGAACAAGCTCTTTAACTGTCCTGAGCCTGAGTTTCCCCAAATGTAAAGTGGGGACAATGACAGTGACTTTCTGGGCTCTGGAGAGGATTACCTATTTGAAAGGTGGTTGGTACAGAGCAATTTTCATACCTTTCTCTGAGGTGCCTCTGCTCTATGTCCCCATGGGGTCATGGGCCAGAGTGAGCGGGACACAGTTCAGATTGTTATAACTGATGGACTCTCCATGCTTTCTCCCTTGGAGGCCTGAATTGTCTAATTATAACCGGGGTGCCCTACCATTCTGGGATAGCTCTGTGAATGTGGGGAGAGAAATTTGTTTGTGTGACGATGCTCAGGTCCATTAGATGAGTACAGCAAGGGCCCTAACATGCTCATTCTGGATGGGTATTAGCTGTGAGGTGGGTTTTCGTCAGCATTTAGATTGCTGTTCACTATGATTGGGTTCCCTTGACTTTGGAACAGGGCATCGGAATAAGTCCATGAGGGCAGGACTATCCTACTCATCTTATCTTCCCAACAGGATTCAGTATCGTAGCATTCATATAGTAAACATTTAATCAACACTTGCCTAATAAAATAAGACAGGATAGACTAGACTAGACTAGACTAGAATAGCATGTAGAGAAGGGAGAAGATGGTTGGAGTAAAACCACCAAAATGAGCACAGTTGAATGGCAGGTCTCCACTTTGGTTTTCCTGCTGGCCCCTCATGCTGCTCACTCTTGCAGGTCCATAGATATTTCAGAAGCTCAGAAGGTGCCGGGGTTTGTTTGCTTTATCTCTGCTGATGATATTCCTGGGAGTAACAAAACTGGAATTGGTAATGACGAAACAGTCTTTGCGAAGGATAAGGTATGGCTTGCATTTTTAAAATATGAAGTTAGTGAAATGAGTATTTAAGTTTTAATTTGTGCACATTCCTCCAAAACTCTTATATTGAAAAGACTAGTCATTTTTATATGTTGGCATCATCCCTTAGGCCAATATTCAGGACAGTCAGTAAAGGGAGAGAATATACTTTTATTTCCGCTTAATGTTTATTTGCTTATTTAATTGATGGCTGCTGTTTGTACATAGTAGAATGACTCCATGCCAACATGGCATTAAAAAAGAAGCTGGTGATTGTATTTGAACTAGCAATCAGGTTCTTAAGGTATTCGAGTTCCATTACTAAAAGAAAATACAAATACATTAAATAAACTACACCAGATAATAATCATAATACCACCATTAGGAGATACTGATAATTCACTTATAAGGCAGTTCATATATTGATTCCAACTATATATGGAGTCCTGTCAACAAAACAACTTTCTAAACATTCAAAACAGCTGCTACAAAATCCATATACTTATAGAGTAGTTCTCAGTCATTTTATAATTCCATATGTTGCAAATTAGAAGTGGATCGGTCTTGCTGAAGGGCACATTCACCTTTTTATTGCTGAAAAAGTGAAGAAGCAAAAGAAAAACTGTAGACCCAAGACACAAGGACTCCAGAGGGAGAGCTTTTGAAAAACCAATTGCTTTACAAACTCCAAATACCCCAGGAGCATGGATAGCATTATGGTTAGTGAGAGTCATTCAGGTTCAACAACCATTGCACTAACCAGTTAAGTCAATGACTTAACAGGGTCCTCAAGAAATAATGACCAGAGACAGGCATACTAAGGATTGGTTCCTATTGTCAGAAACCTCATTTTCCAAAGATATGAGTTGGGCAAATTGTTTGTTTGTTGTTTTATTTTGGAGGGCATGTTAAAAGAAAATTCTCTCTGAAGGAGATTTATTAATCTTTTATAGGAACTGACCTATTAATTAAAAATAATAATTATTCTATAAATCTAACAAAAAGCTAGTTTATGAATCATCAAGTCTAAGATCTAGCATTTGGAAATTACTGCTTCTGGGCATAAGGCATGATGGCTGCCTTTGAGGAGCTGTTGGTATAAATCTGGCAAACAGAAGATGAAGAGAGTTGGTGGTAGAAGGAAAATAAAACTGGAAGTCAGGGCCTAAGATTTAATCATGGGCTGGTAACAAGCCAATTGTGATCTTGCTGTCTGGGTCTCCATGTCTTTGTAAGAAGAACAAGGGGGCTGTAGTAGATAAGAGTTGACAGATACAGGTCATGCTGCTCATATCTCCCATTCTGCTGCTCAAGGCAGACATCACTAATCAATCACCACATTCTATCCTGGGCAGCTTCTCAACAGACTGTGAGTACTAAAGCATCAGAATTGGCCCTTAAGATGAAATAAATTTGCCATTCTAATACCAGTCACCTCCAAGTTCCATTCTACTCCCACCGATTCTAACCACTTATGAAGGAGCACACAACCCAAGTCATCGAATAAGGACATGAAAAGGCCCAGGGCATTCCTAACATGTTGAATTAATAGGAAATTGTGGGGACGGGAAACTTGCTTTTTGCCCTTTTGAACAATTCAAAATAATTGGCTTTTTGAGGAGTTTTGTGGTGTTTTCCAGTAGTCTGGCTCTACTCCTAGGTGACTTGCATTGGGCACATCATTGGCGCCGTGGTCAGCGACACCCCAGAGCACGCCCAGAGAGCAGCTCAAGGAGTGAAAATCACCTATGAAGAACTTCCAGCCATTATCTCCATTGAGGTAATGAGAAGGGGCTGCCTGTGAGAGTGCTGAGCTCCCAGTCTCTGGAAGCACACTGTTTAGGATCCTCTAGTGGAGATTGGAGCAGCAGGTGGGATTTGGCTACATGGGTTTTTAAATCTCTTCCGGCCCTGGGATTGAGTGTTCCTGTGAAAACTTCCCCATCGTCATCCTAGACTCAGTCCACTAACAGCCACACTGAGTCCGTCCTACCCAATTTCAGCTCCATTTGGGTCCTTGAAGGATTCTTTGCTTTTCCTCAAGATCTAAGGTAGTTTACCTCTGTTGGAGGAAAAAGAGGAATATGACTTTCTGGGCTACTTTATTATTTTTTTTAAAGTTCTTTGTTGATTAAGGTATTACATATGTGTCCTTATCCCCCCAGTACCCTCCCATGCTCCCCTCCAACACTCTTGCCCTCACCCCTCTGTTGTCTGTGTCCATTGGTTAGGCTTATATGCATGCATACAAGTCCTTTGGTTGATCTCTCCCCCTTACCCCCTTCTTCCCCTACCTTCCCTCTGAGGTTTGATGGTCTGATCGATGTTTCTCTGCCTCTGGATCTGTTTTTGTTCACCAGTTTATGTTGTTCATTATATTCCATAAATGAATGAGATCATGTGATATTTATCTTTCTCTGACGTGAGCTTATTTTAAATCTGTATGAGAAGATTGCAGAGATGCCCATGTGAGAGGAGAAGGGGAACCATTCTGGGAGCTTCTCTTCCGCACTCAGAAACCACCTTCCTCCCTCTGAAAGTCAAGTTGCTGAAGCTTCTTTTTGATCCTCAGGATGCGATAAAAAACAACTCCTTTTGGGGACAGGAGCTGAAGATTGAGAAAGGAAACCTCAAGAAGGGGTTTTCGGAAGCAGACAACGTTGTTTCAGGTAGAGCCGCATGTGCAGAAGTGGGGTTGGGCCGGTCCTGGCTTGTGAATGAAATTCAAGAGCTGTACCTTGGGTCCTGGGGCAGGGAAGTGTTTTCCTATCATTTCCGAACAGAAGAGTTCCTCTGGTGTTTGTAAGGAAATAGTAGACAGTTGGCTGGGAAAGACCTTCAGTCATCTCCAGTCTCCTGACTGTGGACTGGACACACCTGAATGATCTAGAGAGATCAGTGTGGTGGATTTGGAAGACTGTCTGGGGAAGATGACAGCCTCAGATGCCTGGTCAGCCTTAGGTTTGCCAGGCCTTTAGCCACGTGGACTCCTGGCCCTCCCCTTTTCCCTGCAAAGGCCTTTCTCACACATCTTCAACTCTCGAGTCCCCTACCCCCCCCCTTCTTCTACTTCACCATCCACACTGTGAAGTCAGGTGCATAGCTCCAAACCCAGGGCAAAGCTGCTGAGCAGACAGGCCCCTTTTGGAATTTTCTATGTTTTTATTGTGCATCGCTAAGTCACTGGTAAGTTAGCTCACTAACTGGCCTGATAGGCTTCATTCTGGAAGATATTTTTAGCTTTTCAATTACCTCTTTGATTCTTTCTTTATCTTTCCAACATTTTACAGTAATAGTTTGAATCTCTTTGGTTTTCACTGGCTGCAGCATGAAGAGAGTTTCATGCCTGATGCATTTCAGTGTCATTCTGGTTTCTTTGTTGAAGTGGGGTTCAGCTCCCAGATTACTGAAACTGAGACCCCTTTTCATACCAGTTGGGGAACCTAGAGGTTACCTTTGAGCACTTGGTTCTTGCCTTGGGCACTTGGCAAGTACACACTCTTCTTAAGCAAATGTGTCCCCTCTGCAGCAGCAGGCTCACTGTGGGGTCCTGTTGCTTTCCCAGGTGAGGTGTACATTGGTGGCCAAGAGCACTTCTACCTGGAGACTCACTGCACCATCGCTGTCCCAAAAGGCGAGGCAGGGGAGATGGAGCTCTTTGTGTCCACACAGAACACCATGAAGACCCAGGTCAGCTCTGGGACCTGGCAAGGACACCAGGAAGCTCCTGGCATTGTGGGAAATGGGAAGAGGGAGACTTGGGTTGGTCCAAAAGGGATTTAGAAAGTAGTGGTCCTGGACCAGACCCTGTCACCAATAAGCTGGTGTCACTGAGCTTGTTACAAAACCATTCTCTTCTATAAGAAGGTTGGATTAGATTGGTCTTAATAGATGGATAGAGCCTAGTGTTCGCTATTGTGATTCCAGTGCTATATGGCCTTGGTCACATCGTATCTGGCCTAGGCTTCCTCCCTTATAGAATGAAGGTGTTGGGTAAGTGATAGATACAAAAACCACTAAATTATCTGCAGCAGCTTGAATAATCCTCATTTCTCTACTGCCTATTATGTGATAGCAGATGCCAGCGTTTTTGGCAGCTGGTTCTACCCTCATGACCTACCAGTTCCTGGCTCAGTGGAATGAGTTTTGCTCTGAAAGTAGCTGTGACTAGCTGCTTGTCCCTTCGGTTAAAAGCAAGTGTCTGAATTCAGTCTCAACCACTTAGGTTCATTAGTGTTGGACCCCAAGGGTCAGCACTGGGAGAAGGGTGGACTCTGGAATCTGGGAATTTCAGATACACAGCAGTAATTAGGCCTGTTCTTATTAGGCAGGCTCTGGGTCAAGACTGAAGTAAGTCCAGATGATGTGTTCAGAGCAAGTGTGTTTTCTTTTGCCCACAGAGCTTTGTTGCAAAGATGTTGGGGGTTCCAGACAACCGGATTCTGGTCCGAGTGAAGAGAATGGGAGGAGGATTTGGAGGGAAGGAGACCCGGAGCACCCTGGTGTCCACGGCAGTGGCCATGGCTGCATACAAGTGAGTCCTCCCCATGGGCTCTGGGAAGAAGAAGGCTGCCTCTGCCATGAAGACTTCCTGGATTCCCCTTTGTGGGAAGTAGATTCTCCTTACTTTGCTGTTTTTAGAACTTTGGGGCATAGAGGAGAAGATAACATCAAGTGATTCTTTTTGTTCTGGTGCCTGTGTCCTGATTGCTCCACCTGGCTGTGAGGGTTTGAGAGGACAAGGACACAGCTCATATCCTACCTTTTCCCTCCTTGTCAAGTGTCTAGACAGCAAAGCAGCCCTGCCCAAGTGTGCTTAGTGTGTCAGGTTGAAAAAGAAGACTTCCTTGCAGTTTTCACCCCAGAAACTCACAGGGCTGGGCTGTTACGGGGACCCCAGTTTTCTTACCCTCCGGTGTCTCCTTCAGGACTGGCCGCCCTGTACGCTGCATGCTGGATCGCGATGAGGACATGCTGATCACTGGAGGCAGACATCCCTTCCTGGCCAGATACAAGGTTCCAGATGCTGGGGTTGTGCCAGAGCGGGCAATGCCATCCCTTTAGGAGGGACTCTCACTTTTCTTAGGACTAACTATAAAAGTTCCAAGGAGAAATAGCCACAGGAGACATTCCTATTGGCCAACATTGAGGGGTGATGCTGTGGGTGCTGGCAGGCCTGCCCGTGTCACAGGGTGGTGGTGGTGGTAGTGGTCACAGCTTTCAAGAATTCAGTCTTTGTCCACTCAGGTTCAGAAACATGACTGATCAGCAGACCTAGGGAAATCTTCCTGCAGGATGGCCTAGTGTTAACGTGCTCACAGCTGGTTGTGGAAACCAGAATGACTAGTTAGTATTTCACAACAAACAAAACTTCCCAGGGCCTGGAAGGGCACAAGTTATTAGAGACACCCGTTGTTAGAGTGGGCACCTGCTCTGCCAGATCACGTGTGGTTGGGCATTGCCCAATTTCCCTGTAAGACGGGCCTTTTCTAGGCTTCCGTGGATGACAACTTCCTATTCTCACCCTGCATCCAGTCCCCTTGCATACCAGTGCCATCTTTCAGGTTCCAGTCTATCTCTGTGAACCTGGGCGTCTTCTCTCTCCACAAGCTGGCTTTGAACACCACACTTTGAACTCTTCTCATTGTTTCATGATTGAACTTCCACAAAGGGATTATATTTCTCTTAATTCTTATGGGCTTACAGAAAGTCACTTGGTCTTTGGGGGTCCCAGTTTCTTCACTTATCAAATGACCCTTAAGAGTTTGTTTCGATGATTGTGTTAAGTGAGGGGGGTCAGAGCATGCTGAAGCTCTTGTAAAAGTGCAGGTTTTATTGTTTGCTGGCCAAAAGCTCTGAGGAGAGACTCCAGTCTCTTTCCCATTCCCTCCCTGCCTGCCCTGCCATTACCAACACTGAATTTTCTATCCTCCAGGTAGCAAAAGTGGGAGGGAAGAGGGAGAGATAGACAGGGGGAGGACCAGAAGCCAGGAGCAGGTAGAAAGGAGAGAAGGTGGGGAGAAGGTGTTCCAGGGTTGAGCCCTGGGTCCATCCCTGGGAAGATATTAGTTTCTTTCTTCTGGTTTTGATGATGTCTTATGTTCTCCCTCTTTCATGGTGTGGTGTCTTACTCTTTCTGTTTCCTCCAGGAAGCGTGGGTGGGGAGAGGTAGCGATAGATGAAGCAAGGGGACTGTTGGGAAACCACTCTCTTTCTTGTCAGGTTGGCTTCATGAAGACAGGGAAGATTGTGGCCCTGGAGGTGGAGCACTACAGCAATGCCGGGAACTCCCTGGATCTCTCTCAGGGTGTAAGTAGGGCCTCTTCCTGCATTTTGGGGTGACTAGAAGGTTAAGGGCATGCCCCTCTCCCCATACCAACCTATTCATACAGCCAGGCACACACCTCTTCCATTTTTGTCTTTTATGTTATAAAGCTTCCCAATTGGTTCCTGCCTTTAGATTCTCCATCCTTGGTTAATTTCTAAAGCACAGAGATGATCACCTTTCTTCTCTGATTGGAAACTCATCCTTCTTGTGCAAGATATTCTAACAAGCAAGCAAAGTTAGTTACAAAACTTCATATATAGTGTGGTGACATTGTCTGTGTGTGCACATATGTCTAGTGATATGCATGGAAAAGTCTGAAGGAAGACACACCAAACAGTGATTGGATGGGTTAAGGAGTGAGGGTGGGGGGCGCACTGTCATTTTCTACACTGCACATTTCTGTGATATTTGAATTTTGAATAAAGAGTTGTTACTTTAAAAAAAAACCAACTTATTGAAAAATAACTTACATACCACATTTGAATGATATAATTTCATGGTTTTATAGTCATGCACCATTATCACCATCCAGGTGTTGAACATTTCTATCACCTCCCAATGACCTCTTCTGCCCATCTGAGGTTATTCTTGTTCCCATGCTCAGGTCCAGATGTCCACTAATCCACTTTCAGTCTTTGTAGGTTTTCCTTTTCAAATAACTGGAATAATGCACCATGTAGCCCTTTGTATCTGGCTTTTCTCTCAGAATAATGTTTTTAAGTTCATCTATGTTACAGCATGCATCATTCCTCCATTCATTTTTATTGGCGAACAATATTTTTTGATAAAGGCCATATTTGATTTTCTGTTCACTACCTGATGGACATTTGGGTTATTTCCAGTTTTTAGCTTTTGTGTTTAAAGCTGCTTTGAACATTCTCCTAAGAATCTTGTATAGACATATTTTTGTCAACCTTGAAAATTAAGTTACTTTGGTGGTATACTCCTTTTAAAGTTTTTTTTTTTTTAAACCTTAATTTTATAACCATATTAGTTACATGTGCATAGATTCTTGTTGTAAAGAAAAGTCAACCCTAGCTAGTTTGGCTCAATGGAGAGAGCATTGGCCTGCAGACTGAAGAGTCCTGGGTTCAATTCAGGTCAAGGGCACATGCCTGGGTTGCAGGATCCATCCCCAGTAGGGGGTGTGCAGGAGGCAGTCAATCAATGATTCTCTTTCAGATAGATGTTTCTATTCTCTCATCCTTCCTCTCTGAAATCAATAAAAAATATTTTTAAAAAGAGAAAAAGTCAAACATTTCAGGAAAAGCAGAAGTTTCTTACTAGCTCCCCAACCCCTCCCTGCTGGGGACTCTCTAATCTGCTCAATTAGGAAACTTCACACTTCAGCTCTGCTGTAAAGATTGTTCAAGAAGGAAACTTTTTTTAGTGTTCTTACAATTCATAACACTGGCTTCTTGGTTGTAGAAAAACCAGGTCGAAAAAGATGTAGTACTTGTCCCCAAAGATTTTACAAGCTTTTATATTTAACCCAGCAAATATTTATCAACTGTGTAGGGTGGCAACATGAAAAAACATATATCATTGTTTCTGCCCTCAGGAAATGCCCTGCATGGGGAGGGAGACAGATAATGATGGACAAGAGGAAATAAAAGTGCAATTTGATAGCATACAAAGGAAAAGCAACGAGGGAATTGAGACATACAAAAATTGTTTAGGATGGCTAGGACTGAAGTAATTAGACACAAAAAGTAACCTGTGGGAAAGAGAAACTATGCATGAGGAAGTAAGCTAAAACCCAAATGAAATAGCCTGGCCAGTGTGGCTCAGTGGTTGAGCAACTACCTATGAGCCAGGAGGTCATCATTTGATTCCCGGTCATGGTCACTGCACATGCCTGAGTTGCAGGCTTGATCCCCAGTGTGGCCATGCAGGAGGCAGCCAATCAGTGATTCTCTCTCATTACTAATCTCTCTCTCTTCCTTCCTCTCTGAAATAAAAAAAAATATATTTATATTAAAAATATCTAATAAAACCCACACCTAAATGAAACAAATAAAAGCTACCATTTATGGCTTCAGAGAGATGAGTTATTACACCTTAAGGGAAGAACAGTATGCTATAAAAATGGACCAGTCAGACAATAAAATCAAACTCTTGTGAATCATAACTATGGAAGCAGTTTTGAAAGAACATGGAGGAGCTCTGCCACCTCCCCCCACCAAAGAGAAAATAATGTGGAAAAGTAGGAGAGAAAATACAACAAAATTTGAAAACCAGTCCAGAAGATCCATATAGTAGAATTTCAAAAGGGTAGAATGGAAAAAAGAGAGAAGGAAACTCTCAAGAAATAATTCAAGCAGTTTCCCCCAACTTATGAGCATACATTTTTAAGTTGACTTAGTAATAAATGCCCAGAGGACTAAGCAAATGGAAAAATAAAGACAAAATTTATAAACTCCAGGGGAAATATTAACAAGCAAGAGAAGTAACCATAACATTTAAATATAGATAGAAATTTAACTATATGGGAAGGACTGGGAACAGAAAGTAGGTATGTATTCAGGGAAAGTGTGTTTGGTGGAAATTAACTCCTCAAAAGTCTACAACTGGAAAAGTTAGGGATGGCAGTATAAGCACATGTTCATTAAATAGCTGATAAGAATATCACAGAGAAGAAACATAAAATTACTTTTTTTTAGATAACCTGATGGGAAGATGTCAATAAATAACTAATAAATATGGTTTTGCCAAAGTCCAAACAGACCGTACATACATTGGACCTTTATCTTGAATTGGTTGGGGGCCAGGAGAATTCTCTTACTATATTTATTTAAAAAATATATTTTATTGATTTTTTACAGAGAGGAAGGGAGAAGGATAGAGAGTTAGAGACATCCCTGTTTAGGGATGAGAGAGAAACATCGATCAGTTTCCTCCTGCACACTCCCTACTGGGTATGTGCCCACAACCAAAATACATACTTTTGACCAGAATCTAACCTGGGACCTTTTAGTTCACAGGCACTCTATCCACTGAGCCAAACCAGTTAGGGCTCTCTTACTATATTTAAATATATGATACAATTGCATGGTTTGAAATTTAAAAGATGCAAAGGATATATATGAGAAGTCCCCCAGCTACTTCATCTCTCACCACACACTTCTCTTCCTGAAGGCAACTGTAATCCATTCCTTTCATCTTATTTAAATGGGAGGATATTCCAATTGTCCTCCTGCAACTTACTTCCTTTTTCCTATCAATCTTACGGTTTTGAGATTATATATTTGAAACATGCATACCCAGATTGCTCATTTTTATTTGTTGTAACAATGCTGTCCAATAAAACTTTTTGCAATGCAAAAATAAAAAATAAAAAAGCTGTTCTCTCCCATGTTGGCTCCCTCTGCTTCAGATAATGGAACGAGCTCTATTCCATATGGACAATGCCTACAAAATCCCCAACATCCGGGGCACTGGGCGGCTGTGCAAGACCAATCTGTCCTCCAACACGGCCTTCCGGGGTTTCGGGGGGCCGCAGGGGATGCTCATTGCCGAGCACTGGATGAGTGAAGTCGCAGTGACCTGTGGGCTGCCTGCTGAGGAAGTAAGCTGGGAATTTGGTGGCATAGGTCAGAGTGGGCGAGCCTACTTTCCGGGGGACAGGGGCTTGTGTTTTGGGTATTTCTCCTGGGGACAGAGGACAGACAGGGGCTGAAGAGAGGGGCCAGAAGCTTACCTGTAGGATTTGTGCCAACAAGGCCTCAGTGTCTCTCTCCTTGGGAAGGTGCGGATGAAGAACATGTACAAAGAAGGGGACCTGACACACTTCAACCAGAAGCTTGAGGGGTTCACCTTGCCCAGGTGCTGGGATGAATGTCTAGCAATCTCTCAGTATCACGCTCGGAGGAGTGAGGTTGACAAGTTCAACAAGTAAGTGCTGGGAGGGGAGGAGTTTTATATTCTACAGGCTTTTTGCTGAACTCAGAATACAAAGCTAATAATTTAATGAATAACTTATGAGGTTGCTGTATTTGCCGTAATTCATAGCCATCCCTTTAATACTGTGAAATGATCTTAGCCCGGGGCAGGTGAGCTCAGCCTGCATCCAATGTCATAATCCCTCAGTGTGGTGTTTTTACATGTTTGTCTGCCTCCTGGTCATACCACATTCTCTAGACGCCAGCCCAGGACTGAGAATGCCACAGTTATGTGCCTGCCTCTAACACTGATCTATAAATGTCACCTTGGCAGTCACTCCACCTCCTCGGGCCTCAGCTTCATCATATACAAAGTGGGGGTAATTAGGCTGGCTCTGTCTTCTTTGCTAAATTATTGGGAAAACCAAATATAAACCACAGAGAAGGTGCTATCATTATCATCCATGAGCCACAGTCCCTCCCTTGGATGATCACAGTCCAAGGTCATCAGGACAGTCTGACCCAATCTGAATTCCCCTCAAGAGATGATACTTCATGTCAGATGCTCAGGGGTTGGCCTGCTCCAGCTGCACTGAAGGACCCAGAACCCAAATCCCTGCCTTTCTCATGCTGTCTATACAATGCAGATATCACAGTGACTATCTGGACAGCTCTGAGGATGCCTGATGTCAATTTTAAGTTATTGGCAGAAAACGTGTTCCATCAGATGAAAATATGATAGAAAAGATTCTATGAGAATGTTCCTTTTTCTCCAGGGAGAATTGTTGGAAAAAGAGAGGACTGTGCATAATTCCTACCAAGTTTGGAATAGCCTTCACTCTTTCTTTTCTGAATCAGGTAATTACTTTATATAATTCTGTCCATCTCCAGGAGACTGGGGCCCCATTTCCCATTCTTTGAAAGGAAAAGCCAACTGCCTCTCATAACAGAGCTGACTTGAGAAGTTCTTTGCTGTGTAAATAACTTTGCATATCCTTTAATTGTCCAGTATGCCACGAGACAGCCTGAGACTCAGAGACATGGGCCCATATTCTAGTTCTTAACCTTCCTGATTGCAGGACCATGGACAGTTACTCAGCTTTCTGATCCCCTTTCTTCATTTACAGAGGGAGGACAAAGATATTTAAACTCCTTCCCTCTGAAGATGGGAGGTAGAGAGAGATATTAAAAAAAAAAATTGCAAAGTGTGGAAGGGCTGCCTAGTTAAACCATGAGAATTATACTGCTTTAATTTTTGTCAGAGGTTTAAATCCAAAATGTTGCTGCTGGTTCCCTTTTCCCTGGGCTGCAGTACCTTTTGTCTCAAGTCTTAAGCTGAACTTAAGTTGACTACCTTTGTGGCTGGCATTCTTCTCTCCCCTCAGGCAGGAGCCCTGATTCATGTGTACACAGATGGCTCCGTGCTGCTGACCCATGGGGGCACTGAGATGGGCCAGGGCCTCCACACCAAGATGGTCCAGGTGAGTGGCCTGCGGTGTCTGTGTAGGGGAGATGCTGGGAGAAACTGAGGGATGGGATATTTCAGGACCAGAATCAGGCCTAGGCACTGGCCCTGGCTCTGCTGCCCATTTAAATGTGACCTTGAGTAAGGGTTTCCTCATGTGCTATCTGAGGTCACTTCTGTCACCAACATGCTAGGATTCTGTGACTATGTGTTAGGTGGGTGTTGAGTGTAGCTAGTTTTGCACATGTGAGATGCCTTGAAGTGGAGATGGATGGTAGAGCTGGATTAGAGTGGGCACAGCTGCTAGGCTCCTGGAGACTGGCCAAATGGGATTTAAAAAAAATATATATAAGGGTTAGCTTTAAATGGCACTTGACAAAAATTTTATTTTTCAATTGCACTTTACATTCAATGTTATTTTGTAATAGTTTCAGGTGTCCAGCATAGTCATTAGACAATCATATACTTTACAAAGTGTTCCCTCCGATTTTCCCAATATCCACCTTGCACCATACATAGTTATAACAATGCTATTTACCATATTCCCTAAGCTGTAATTTACATCCCCAGCACTCTACTGTAACTACCAACTTGTTAAAAGGCACTTTATTCACCATAAGGTTTAAAATTTTTTCTCCATCCAAACCATTCCATAAAGTGCTGCTTCAAGTTGAGGCAGACATGGGAACATTCCAGCCTCAGCAGAATTATAGTTTACAGAATTGGTTCCTTGCCTGTACCTGTGAACCTGAATCCTGTCTTGGCGGAAAGGCAGCCAAGCCCCATGCTCTCCCCTTTCCTAAAGGAACATTCTCAAAGAATCTTCTCTACCCTATTTATGTTGTCTTTCTTCACAGGTGGCCAGCAAAGCTCTGAAAATCCCCATCTCTAAGATTTACATCAGTGAGACAAGCACTAACACGGTGCCCAACACCTCTCCCACGGCTGCCTCTGTCAGCACTGACATCAATGGACAGGCCGTCTATGTAAGGAGCCTCAGGAACCAGTGGAACTGAGGGCCAGACCAGGGTTTTGGGCCCAGAGAGTCCCTGGGGTGGGAGCTGGAGTAGTCCCTGCAGGCTCTTGGCTGTGACTATGTCTTGGGCTCTCTTACTGAGGATAACACAGCTCCTCCAAATGCTAAGTTGAAAGAGAGAACCACCACCACTTCCATCAGAGACAGGAAGGATGAGGGGAGTAAGGGGAGGAGAGTTGGGGAAACACAAGGAATTCTGGGAATACATATTATTGGTGTGAAAACTGGCCAACTGACAATGGGCTGAAATTGAAATAAAGTTGGCCAGGTCAGACCTACTTGCGTCTTCTCCCAGGTGGGGGATGTCATCAATCAAATGTGAGAAGTATCGCTTTAGAGATCCCTCAAGAATTTTACCTGTTGTTAATGTGAGAACTGGCTCAGGAAGTGCTCTCCAAGCATAGGCCAACTGTGGTTCCTTGGGAAGGGTCTAGTGGTTTCCACCCTAGCCTTGGTGATGTCTTAGACCAGCAGTTGCCAACCTTTCGGACTTGACAGACCACAAGTGGTGCATGGACCACCAGTTGGCGACCGTTGTCTTAGAGGGTGACAAGGCTGATTGAGTGGTGCCCTGGGCATAGCATCCCTGGGAGGTGGCTCTGTGGAGGCTCTCAGGCTTTCCCTGCAGAGGGCATGCAGAGGGCTGACGGATCTGGTGTGTGGTGCATGTGTTCTTTAGGAAGCTTGTCAGACGATTCTGAAGAGGCTGGAGCCCTTCAAGAGAAAGAATCCCAATGGCTCCTGGGAAGACTGGGTAAGTCTGAGCTTCTCCAAGTTGCTTTTGCAAATGAGAGTGAAATGAAGAGCAGGAATAGGAAGTGTTGATCTAGTCACATAGCAGGGAGAAGTTGAGGGAATCTGCATGCTTTCACAGGACAAGTAGATGCTCACCCTTGCTGGGTTCCATTTCTATTGGTGTCCATTGAGGGAAGTCACTGAGGAAAATGTTTGATCCAGGATTGTGACAGCTCTGTGGGAATTGGGGTTTGTCTACCCTGATCCTGAGAAGACAGGCTCAGTGAACACAACTCACTGAGAATTCTTCTCTCTGCCTGGTCCCACACCTCATTTGTCCAGAGGCTTGATCAGCTGGGTTTTCTTCAAACTCCTTCTCTCAGAGTTCTGCCTCTACCAGCCTCTCCCCTTACCCAGCTTTGGAGTCAGGGTTCACTGAGATTCCATCTGTGATGGAGCTGGAGGAAGACATTGTACAAGGGTTATATCATTCCTGTGGCTTAGGGAGTCACACAACAAGCACTCCTAATAAGAATGAACCCGGTTCTCTGATTTCTGGTTGGGAGGACTGCATTTAAGAAACCCTGGGAGGGAAGCTGCAGGAAGGCTCTCAGGTGGGAGACCTCAGCTTTTCCAAGAGGCAGAACTATTAATATGGAGCTGCTTCACCACCCCCAGGGTCAGAATGGGAGAACTGGTCACAGCAGTAACATAATGTGTGACTGCACAGGAACCAGCTCAGATAGTACAATATGTTCAAAAAATGAACTCTTTCTGATATCCCCAGTAGGGGGCATGCATAGGCAGCTGATGGGTGTTTTTCATCTTACTCAGCCTCCTATAACTTTTCCTTCCCTTCTCACACTCATAACACCACACACATAAATAACTCACGGAGGTAGGTTGATTTGGGTAGTTTAGGTTTTAGTGTAGATTTGGAAGGTGATGTTAATGTTTTCAACAACAGCCTTTACAATCTGTTGACCTGAGCTTTGTCCTCAACCATTAGCTGTATAGTCCAGTGTTCTTTATAAGCAGATGAGCTCAGAAAAGGCCATGATCAAAAAGACATGATCAGGAATAATAGGCACCAAATCTGTTCAATGTCTGTACTTTATTGAAAATAAGCCATTACTACCACTACCACTACCACTATATTGCATATATTCGATATTTGATTCCATATACATATGGTAAGGATCCTAAAGAAACTTTTCTAAGCCTCTGTTTTCTCATCTATAAAATGAAGATAATAATAATAATACTGATTTTATAGGGTTGTACTGAATATTAAGTCAGATGATGTGTGTAAATTATTCAATAGCATCTGGTACATAGTAAAGAGCTTGATTATTTACAATAATCATGATGCAAACTATATCAACAATGAATTAAATCTTAGTGCTGTGCCAGTGCTAGGGATGCCCTAGAAAATGTATGTAGTTAAGGAGATAGGGTGGATGCTTAGATAGATAGATAGATAGATAGATAGATAGATAGATAGATAGCTTTATTAATAGGAAAGTACCCATAAGAACATAGGTATCAAATAAACATTGTAGAGAGTTGCTGTTGTAAAGCCCGAGGCAAGGCAATTGGAGGTGTGGCAATGGCATGTCTGCTACTCCAGAGAAGACTAGAGTCCTTAACGTCAGGTATTTGCTCTATAGGCAATGGGGAGTCGTCGAAAGCTCTGGAGTAGAAGAGTAACATGGGCAGTGCAGTATGCTAAGATGATCACTCGCCTGGGCTGGGTTATACAGAAGTTGGGGAAGCAACTTGAGGTGGGAAGACCAGTTAGGAGACCATTGTAGAGCTCCAGGGCTTTGAGATAAAGGTCCTAATGCAGGGGGTGGCAGTGAGGGTGTTTTGTGAGGTGAGGTGTAGAAGTGAGAGTCACTAGTCAAGGGTTGATCAACTTCCAGATAAGGAGAATGAGCATACAAAAACTTAGTGCTGGGTCACAGTTACTGGAAACCATGCTTTTCCCTTCCTGATGGCCATTTCTTCTCCTTAGGTCACTGCTGCCTACCAGGATGCAGTGAGCTTGTCTGCTACTGGGTTTTACAAGTATGTATGGTGGTGATCTCACCCATCTCACAATGTACTGTCATTCTGGCCTCTCAGGTCCTCCTAATCTGGAATTCTATCATCCTATGGTCAGGAGAGAACAATTCTACCAAAACTCTGATCTCTTCAGTGTACTTGCACTCATTTCAATGTAAAGATGCTGTAAAATATGTAGGATTACCAACCTATATGCTCTGGAGGCAAAAGCATGAGCTGCCATATCATAGACTCCCATTCTAATTCTGGTCTTAGTGGACTATTGCCCTTGGGGAAAACAGTGATTCCCTCTGAACCTGTAACCTCCTTTATGACAGAATGGGACAGTTAACAACTAGTCCTCCATCAGTACTTCCCTGTCACAACCATGGGCGTCCTATGTTCTGAGTTACCTACGCATGCTACTTTGTACTATGCATTGGGTTTCTTTTCTTTTATTTTCTTCCCTCTCCTCTCCTCTCCTCTCCTCTCCTCTCCTCTCCTCTCCTCTCCTCTCCTCTCCTCTCCTCTCCTCTCCTCTCCTCTCCTCTCCTCTCCTCTCCTCTCCTCTCCTCTCCTCTCCTCTTCTCTTTTTTTCAAAAGAATGAGAGGAAGCCTGGCTGGTGTGGTTCAGTGATTGAGCATCAACCCATGAACCAAGAAATCACCAGTTTGATTCCTGATCAGGATACATACCCAGGTTGTGGGCTAAATACACAGTAGGAGGCATGAAGGAGGCAGCGAATTGATGTTTCTCATCAATGTTTCCATCTCTCTATTTCTCTCCTTCTCTCTATAAAAATTGATAGAAACATAAAAAAGAGAATGAGAGGAAGATTTAGAGCACACGGTCTTGTTAGAAGATGTGGAATTCAACAGAACTTAACGTGAGATTTAGAAAAGAGCACATATCTTCTGTGACTTTAAAATTCAATAGCTGCATGAAGAGTTAGAGACCCAGCCCATCTGATTTGGAAGCTGTAAAAAGACAGGATCATATCAACTTGTGATCCACAAGGTTTTAGCTTTCTCTGGGAAGTTTAACCAGGACCTTTTCTTTCACAGATCAATGGATTTGGCAAACAGTTCAATGTTTAGTTCCAAAGTTCTTTTTTGTAAATATATATTTTTATTTTGTAGGCAAAGTAATGTTTTGACAGTGCTCCCTGGGTTATATAACATTTGGCATACACAAACATAAGCTGGTGCAGGTTTTCTCACAAATTCACATTCCATTTTTGGAGTTGACAAATGGGTTCTATACAGAAACACCTAGATAAAGTGGGGAATCCAGAGGTCATTTCTCCTGAGAAACACCTTCTCCCTCAGCCCCACATTGAAGGTCTTTTCATGCAGATTCTGATCACATTAGCTCACATGATTTCTGTGTGATGTATAGAATACCGTAGGTACTACTATGAACTCTGGTGTGAAAACACACACACACACACACACACACACACACACACACACACACACACACGTGTATATGGGACTCATGCAAAATTAGAATTATATAAGATAGGGTTGAGAAAGAAAAAAATGTAAGAGGCCATCTGCTTTTATTAATAACACTTTCCTCAAATCATTTGCTGAAATTTAGAAGGGACCAATAGATGAAGAGTAATGCAGGCAAGAGGCTGCTTAAAGGGGCACATGGGCCGGCCTGAGATACTGATCTTGTTAACTTCCACCTTGAGGAAGAAGGGCAGGTGAGCCTGTGGGAACAGCCCAGGAGTCAGTCAGTGCAGGAGCCTTCGGTTCTGAGATCTTGATTCTAGCTCATAGATCCTCTGGAGTGTGACTTTTTCATCCTTCATGAGCTGGGAGAACTCTGTCAGTTTCCACTATGTAGAGACCAGCATGCTGACTCTAATCACTGCTCAGCTGTACGGAGTGATTCACCCGAGGGCCATTGGCAAAACATATCAGTGCTCTGGAATTCCTGGGTTTCATTCACAGGTTAAAATGTCCAAAGCACATGGGGTACTGTGAAGAACAGCTGAATGAAACAAATAAAACCTTTGGCTCTTAAGATTTAGTGGGACAAGCCATTTGTGTGTGTATGGGGAGCGGGAGGGGGGCATATTCATTTTAATACACATGCAGTATCTTCTGTTTTCTCCCCCAGAACACCCAATCTTGGCTACAGCTTTGAGACCAACTCAGGGTCCCCCTTCCACTACTTCAGCTATGGGGTGGCTTGCTCGGAAGTGGAAATTGACTGCTTAACAGGGGACCATAAGGTAAGATGTTTGCAAAACTTCAGTACTAAGTGGGCGGGGGCGGGGAAGAGAAGAGAAACAACTCAAAGACAAACTCTGTGGTTGGGAAAATAATGCCTTATATCACGACATGGGAAACTCCCTTTAAAGGACCAGAGAGTAAATCTTTAGTCTTTTGGGGCCACAGAGAAACTGCCTTAACTCTATCTCTGCAGCACAGCAACAGCCAAGACCTATGGAAACAAAGGAGCGAGGCTGTGGGCCCCTAAAGCGTTACTGATGCACACTGAGTGGGTTTCACGCAGTGTTCACGTCACCACATATTCTTACTTCTGTCTGCTAGTTAATGATGTAAAAACATTAGTAGCTCACAGGCTGTACAAAGCCAGGGGGCCAACTGGCCTCAGCGCATGGAATGTAGTGTGTTGACTCCTTCCTCACATGAACTACCCACACTTAGATTCAAAGTCCCAGGAACCTGCAAACCTGTTACTCCCACTCCCATGTGAGTGTGTGTGCAGTTATTTTGGATTACCGAGCCCCTGGTCACTCCCACCCCTTCTCCAGCTGCTCCTATGAACTCAGACTTCAGCAGTGATGGTTGCAGTGGAGACTGGGGACTGCCTGAGTGTGCTCAAAGCACGCCGCTTGTGGAAGTATCATCTGGGTTGGCACTTCATAGTTTAAGAGTCACCCAGACCCACCTGTCATCCCACACATCCCCTTCTTCTCAAGCTGCTTTTACTTCCCTGTCCACCGTAGAACCTTCGCACAGACATCGTCATGGATGTTGGCTGCAGTCTGAACCCTGCCATCGACATAGGGCAGGTAAGACTCACAGGGAACTTGGGTGTTGATGGATTGGGCTACTGATGTGCCCCATCCCCTTCCCAGGGCCACTAGCCACAGCATCTTGTCCAATGTCGATGTTACATGGGTCTGAACATGTGACCAGGAGTGTCTCCACAGACTGATGCTTATATGGATCTAGAAAGGGCAGAGGCAAATTAGTGGGTGGATCTAGAAAGGGCTCTCACACCTCGAGAACAAGATGAATGGGAAAAACACTGGGTTGCACATGCATGCACACACAACCACACACACATGCACAGATGGAGCTGGATTTGGGATCGATGTGCAGGCAGTGAGGTCTGAGGTTTGCGAGCTTTCCCCTCCTCCTTTCTCTCCTACCCAGGACAGCAATGTGTCAAAGCCTGGGTTTGAGCAAGAGGGGTAAAGGGATGGCCAAGGAAAACACATTTGGAAAATATCAGAACATTGGACAGAGCAGGTGGAACAGGAGGAGAATGAGGGAGGAATCAGGACCAGAAGTACTGAGCACCTGGTAGAAAATGTGAATGAATATCTCTCTAGAATGGACAATTACTGAGTATACAGAAACCTCATCACTGGTCAGTCATTTCATTCATTCATTGAACAACCATGGGGAAAGGGGTGCTTCTGCTCTGCACAGGTGCTGAGGTGGACACTGCACAAACACAAAGATGGTTAGCACCTGGTCTTCCTTAAACACTCTTGTTTGGCTACATGGCACCACCTACCTGACTATGAGAGTGAGGCTCTGTGGGCCAGTAGAGCCAGGCAGGTGCCCCCAAACAGACCTGTAAGCTAGAGCAGAGGCACTCCTTTTTCCAGAGGGCAGGCGGGGCTGGGAGTTCAAAAAACCTGCACTCTACTATCAAAAATCTCCTCTCTCCTGGGGCTGCTCAGAAGTGCAGGTTTCACTTAGCATAGAGAGAAGCGTGGGCCCCAAGGGACACTCAGCACCCATTAGCCAGTGACAAGAAGGGGCATCTGCACTGCCCTGTGGCAGGTTTTAATGGGAGATTGTGCTACCACTACATGGGCTTCCAGAATCACCACTGAGTTCCAAATCTGAGCTTCAGTGCCCATGTCTGGTGGAGGTCCAAAGAGGTGGTCCTGGGTGGTTGGGGGTCAAGTAAGCAGTGCAGGGCTGTTTGCAGAATCATTCCAGGCCCCACTCCAGGTGGCCTGGTCCCCGCAGTGGAAGCAGGACCTGTGCCTGGGGAGTGGGGAGGCAGTGTGTCCACGATGTCCATCTGCCTTGCAGGTGGAAGGCGCATTTGTCCAGGGTCTGGGCCTCTTCACACTGGAGGAGCTGCACTACTCCCCTGAGGGGACCCTGCTCACCCGTGGTCCTGGCACCTACAAGATCCCAGCATTTGGTAGCATCCCCACAGAGTTCAGGGTGTCTCTGCTTCGTGACTCTCCCAACAAGAAGGCCATCTACGCATCCAAGGTACTGGTGCCCCGGGCCTGGGCGGCCTTCCTGTCTGCACTGTGGGAGGCTCCGGATGGTGACAGGCTGCCCCCTATTCCCCCGACCATATGGGTGTGCATGGGGCTCGTCTGAGAAGAGTGCTTGATATTAGCTTTGGTGATGGTGGTGGAGGGGTGGGCAGTCCTGCCTAAAAACCAGGGAACTAGATTGAACATGACAGCTCCTCTGTGTGGTAGAAGCCCGCTGCTTTGGGTACAACGAGGATTTCCTTAACCCAATCCTATAGACCAAACCCTGACCTACATTCTCATCTCAGGTATCCATCCTTGAGGTTTGGTCCTAGACACTATCTCACAGATAGAGTACCTCTGTCTTCTATGAGAACCAGCACTTTCACTGAAGACAGGGCAGTCTCTCTGTGCACCCCATCACCTCCTTCAGGGGCTGCCCCGTGACTTTAAGACAACTAACATGCCTGAAAAATGATAACCATCCTCCCCAATATGTATGAAAAAAATGGTTGAAAATTAAGGTGGTTGATCTAGTCCTAGGTCTAAGGAAGACAGTTGATCATTTGAAAGCAATGAAACCCATTTATTTGCTCATCTCATGGGTGTTGTCACCATGGGAGCATCTGGGACACTTTGCTACCCCTGCCACTGGCTCATGATAAAAATGCAGTTCTGGCCCAGCTGGTATGGCTCAGTGGCTGAGCATTGACCTATGAACCAGGAGGTCAGTGTTCGATTCCTGGTCAGGGCACATGCCCGGGTTATGGGCTTGATCCCCAGTGTGGGGTGTGCAGGAAACAGATGATCAATGAGCCTCATCATTCATATATCTATTTCTCTCTCCCTCTCCCTTCCTCTCTGAAATAAATTAAAAATATTTTCAAAAATCAGTGCTGGGTGGCCCACCCCTAGATTTTTTGATTCTGTAGATATGGGCTCGGGCCCTGGAACATCCATTTTTAACAAGTGTCCCTAGTGATTCTGATACACAGTCTCTGTGCTTTGTGGGACAAAACCACGTCTGCTAGAAAGTGTTTTAATTCATGTTTGTCATGGTGCCTATATTTCTGTATATGCTGTTCATATAATTATGATGCTGGTACATGGTGTGGTCAGAGTTGCAGATTGATTATTTCCTTAGCTCATCACTGTGAGGAAAGGATTAAAATTTGTGTCAGGTTTTGTTTCTTTATAAACTGTACATGGCACATTATATTTGTAAGGTTTGAAGCATAGAAAACTGACCAAGACATTTTAAAGTAAGGTTTATTCCCCAGTAATGAGCGGGACTCATTATGGAGGTAGAGAAGTCAGAATTGAAGGAGTGGGGAGGGGAGAGGGACCCAGCTGTGCTGCCTACAGATGGACATGGAGGAAAAAGCAACATGTGGCTGGTCTGGGGGTCTTTTTAAGGGGAGGAACAGGAAAGGGTTGGACCCAGGGCTGAACAGGAAGGGGTGGGCTCCAGGGTACTTTGGCACATACTGATTGGTGGTTCAATGTCTTGAGGATGTCTCTGTGACAGATGCCAGTAATATCATAACTCTGCCCACCAGTTGTGGGGAGGGATAATCTCACAATATTTGCATGGTGTCATCAAGGAATCACAGAGTAAGAATTCAAAGAAATATGCCAACAAGGTCGAGTCATTTAGTAGAGTGAGTGTTCTGGGCCCCTGATTGATTGAGACCTGTCAGTGCTAGTGGCTGGCATTCCAGCATCACCGGCCCTCCTGCTGTGGAGGCTGGGGCTTCCAGCCTGAGTTCCTGTCCCCCACGCTGTCCCCCCAGGCTGTTGGAGAGCCGCCTCTTTTCCTGGCCTCCTCCATCTTCTTTGCCATCAAGGATGCCATCCGTGCAGCCCGAGCTCAGCATGGAGACAATAATACGAAGGAGCTCTTCCGGCTAGACAGCCCTGCCACCCCGGAGAAGATCCGCAATGCCTGTGTGGACAAGTTCACCACCCTGGTAGGATGGCTCTGGAGCACCCACTCAGTCTGGGGGAGGCCAGGGCACAGGCCCATGAACTGCAGGGGCAAGTTCTGCAGGGGGACAGAGGTATCAGGCTCTCTTTCAACCACACAACCACACACCTGCCAAGGCTACCCTCCACTCTCAGGTTGAGGCATACCTTTGCACTTGCAGGAAAATAATAATAACTCCCCTTAAAGCTCAGCTTATATCTAGGCCGCTTTAGAGGAGGGAGGGCAGTCTATACACCCACGAATTTCATTATTTTCCATGAAGATGAGGGTGATGGATAAAGCTCCAGAAGACCCTAATTGTTAGTGTCCACCACTAGCATGTGTTTTGCTAACCCTAACCTTAACCCTAACACTAACCCTAACTGTAACACTAACCCTAACCCTAACTATAACACTAACTCTAATCCTTCTTTATTAGGATTAGAGGTCCCACAGTTGTTCTGTAGTTACCATGTGCCACGCAGATCCTGGGGACACACGGGTGCCCTTGAAGACCTTTCAGCCTTTCAGGAAGCCATGTGATGTCATTATGTGGGTTACCAGCTTGGAGATGTTTGTAGCAGAATAGAACAGGAATTCCATGGACATTGGGATCATTTGGGGATGGCCCTATGTGACACTCATAGTGGACAATGCCTAGTGTCAGGAGGCCAGGCTAGGGCAGTGTCTTCTCCTGTTAGGCCCTCCAAAGCAGTCTGGGCTCTGAAATTGCAATGGCAGCCTCTTTTGAGGTAGCAGAACCAGGTTCTTCCCAATCCTCAAGTTGTATTTCTTGGTTATTTGGTGGGAAATTTGATAGGCCCTTTGGGTTTAGAAGTGAAGTAGGTACTTATGGATCCAAAGTGTTCGAGGGATGAGGAGGGGACAGGAGAGCCCCTGGGGCAGGCACATCTGCCATACCAGACCTCCGCACTGAGAGAAAGGGAGGTGGATGCGGATCTAGTCTGGTCATCCTTCAGGTTTGCCAATAGTGTTACCTGTGGGGCAGGAGCTACGAGGCAGGGAGGATGCCCACAGCTGTGCAGCAACCTTCCCACAGCCCAGTACTTCCACCATGGCCCCAGTGCTGACAGGTCCCCAAACCCCATTCCCTGAGAGGGCAAGTGCTGCATGGCTCCCTGTAAATCGTACAGGTTGCAAAGTTAGCTCCTTGCAAGCAATCTGATGTAGGACTCAGTGACTTAATGAGCCCCTTTGCTATGTTACAACTCACCAGTGATTTAAAGTCCCTTCAGGGGACTTGACCAAGCAGCTGGTTCAATGCTTTTGAAAAACTCTTTCCTAGAAGGACTACTTCTGAATTTGGTCATCCCTGTACCTCCAGAGCCTCCTAGAGTGCCTGCCACATGAAAAGTGCTCAGTAGAAAGAAGGGAATGACTAGGAAATTAAGGGGTCCTGCCCAGGGGCATCTCCAACAGCTGGGACTGCAGAGTGGTGTTTGGGCTTAGAATGGTGGCTGGCAGTAGTGGGAGGTGGCATGTGCAGAGGGTGGGAGTGGGCATGCGCTATGGGAAGACCCTGGCAGTGAGTTCTCTGTTTTTTTCTTTCCAGTGCGTCACTGATGTACCAGGAAACTGTAAACCCTGGTCTCAGAGAGTCTGAAGAGAAAGCCCTCAGGGAACTCTTCTCCCATGAAGCATGGAACATGCCCTGAAGAACACGAATCTATGAAAGCTGCAGGATGACAACACTGTGATTCATCAAAATGGTGTTTGGAAGAACACTGAATACATTGGAAGAATCTGATCAAAAATGTGATTTATAAACATAATGATAAGCAAATTTAGACCCAAGGCCCAAGTGGCTAATCCACAATAAAGGGTCTTTTCAGGTCTGTCTTTATCATGTATGTAATTAAATAGATTCAGGAAGTGTTTGTGCTATGTCCCAACTCACTAGACAGACGGTATAACCTCAGGTGCTGACAGTGTCTGTTCTTCTGGAATCCCACAAACCTCCAGAAACTTGGATGAAAGCTACTTTCAATCCACGTGCCTTCCTCAGACAGCCTTTCCTTCAAACCAATGAACATCATATAACCTCAGATCCATATACAAAATATCTTAATGGGACAATGGGATGAGATTCAAGCCTCATACCACCTTTGGTCATCGGAGAGAATAAAGAATTAAACAAATTCAAGGTTAATTTGGTCTAATTTTGTGAAGTTGCATAAAGTAATACTACTCCATAGCACCCAAACCAAACAAACCCAGTTATTGAGTGCCTACAATGTGATGGGTTTCTTCTCTTCCCCTTTGTGTATTTTAAAAAAAAAATCAGTTTTAAAAATCTTCCCTTGAAGCCAGAGTATTTTCCATCTAGAAATGATACCCAAATCAAGATCAGCCAGAAGAAAAGCAGTCAAGGAGCTGGGGTTCTCATCCCAGCTGTGTCTCTAGAGTCTCTGTGACCTTGGAATGTCACTTCCATTTTCTGTACTTCATTTTACTGCAACGAAAGGATTGGACTGGAATAATCTCTAAGGTCTTCTCCAGCTCTAAAAGTCTATAAATTTGTGACCTGAAAACTCCTCTTACATAAGGGACCTGCAGGTGCCAACGACTTGGCTCCCTTTCTATGGGTGTAAAGAGCTCTGCTAAGACCCTACCTGAGGCTGGTTAAGAGAACAAGAGAAAGGCAGCCATCCCTGTGGTTTCTCTGGCTGGTGATGTCATCACTCTATGGCTCTAGGTGGTCGATGTGACATTGTCTTGTGTCTTCATTGTATAGAATGCCCACCTTCTGCCAGACAGCGTTCAGGTTTCTGTCGATGGAAGGATAATGGAAACCACGCTCCAGTTGAAGCTGGAGCTTGATGTCACTAATAAATGAAGCTGTTAGCTGACTGGCATATAGGAAATACTTAGGTATCACCATAACCACACCAATGGTTAGTGTCTGCTATATCTTAGCCAGCCATCGTTTCTAGAGAATGCTCTCACACTGACACACACACACACACACACACACACACACACAATTTTCCTACAAATTTCCCTTCCTCAGAGTATTTAGACAGTGCGATACAAACTCAAGAACTTTAGAAATTGAACCAGAATATGTCTGTTTTAAATGATTTCTCAGAATGTTCTAGGGCATACCCCAGGCTGAGATGTGTCAGCTGCTATTTGCACGGGCCAAAAGGGCTGAACAATGGCTGTGAATTCCCTTCGGAGCTTAGGAACAGAGGCGAGGCAGAGGGGCCATAAAACCAAAGGAGCAAGTGTTTTGTGACTCGAGGTGCTGTTTTCCTGAGATACCTGGCCTTGCCCTGCTGTGCTCATCAGAAAACTTCCTCAAGTCTGTCTACCTTGGTCACAAGGATGCAGCCAACAGTGCCTGCAGTATCGCACAATGACCTGCAGAGGGCAATGGAGGACAGGATATGAGAATGTAGTGTGCAGGCCCCATAACATTGCATGTAAGGTTAGTTACTAGGGAACTGACTTTGGCTCTCATAATAGGCCAGATGCCTTCAAAAGTCTCTCCAAGAGCCGGATTTGAAACTGACTTAGGGTCTCAGAAGAACCAAAATCTCCTCAAAGGACCTCTCTGAGGACATGGTCAGTCCTGAAAGTCTGGGCTCCTGACAATGGGAAAGGCGGGGCCAGTCTTATTCTCTGAGTATGCAGCTTGCCAGGTGCTGAGTTTGGTGCTTTACTTATGGAGTCTCATTTATTCCTCCCAGTGCCCTTAAGAGGTGGGCCTTTTTTCTCTGTAATGAAAGGAAGGAGATACCCTACCCATAGCCAGGCAGAGGCCTTCCTCAGGGACGTTTACTCGTGGAAAACCACCCAGCCCATGGACTGCCATGTGGCCAGGAAGCCCTGAGGCTGGCGTGTATGGGAATTGATCGTCCTGTCAGTGGACTCATGGGGAGCAGGCTCCCAGAGGCTGGTGGGGGCGCCTGAATGCCTCCCTGTGCACCTGGAGGCAGGCAGTATCCTCACGCTGGCGGGCCAGACTACTGCACCACTGCCCCAAAGCAGAGGGTGAACGGCCTCCTATTTCAGAGATAAGGTGGCTAGGAGACCAGGACAAGAGTACAAAAGGTGTGAGGTCATAGGAGGGATCCTGGCAAGGGATAAGGACAGAAATAGTCCCAACTGATTGATTTATGAAGGGATATCCCTGAGCCCATAATACTTTTAACTTTTTTTTAATAATAAATCTTCATTGTTCAGATTATTACAGGTGTTCCTCTTTCCTCCTTCTTCCCCCATAGCTCCCCTCCACCTGATTCCCAACTCTACCCCATGCACTTAACCTTGCCCCTGTCTTCATCCATAGGTGTAAGATTTTTGTCCAATCTCTGCCCTCACCCCTCAGACTTCCTTCCCTCTGAGAATTGTTAGTCCAATCCCTTTCTTTGTCCCTGATTCTATTATGTTCACCAGTCCATTTTGTTCTTCAGATTTTTTATTCACTTGATTTTTAGATTCACTTGTTGGTAGGTATGTATTTTATGTCTTTTTGTTGTTCATAATTTTTACCTTTACTGTTCTTCTTCTTCTTCCTCCTCTTAATGAACACCCTTTAGCATTTCATATTTGGTGTTGTTAAACTCCTGTAACTTTTTCTTGTCTGTGAAGCTCTTTAGCTGACCTTCAATTCTGAATGATAGCTTTGCTGGGTATAGTAATCTTGGTTGTAGGTTCTTGTTTTTCATCATTTTGAATATTTCTTGCCACTCCCTTCTGGCCTGCATAGTTTTTGTAGAGAAATCAGTTGACAGTTGTATGGGTACTCCCTTGTAGGTAACTAGCTATTTTTCTCTTGCTGCTTGTAAGATTCTCTCTTTGTCTTTTGCCCTTGGCATTTTAATTATGATGTGTCTTGGCATGTTCCTCTTTGGATTCCTCTTGTTTGGGTTCTGTATGCTTCCTGAAGTTGTAAGTCTATTTATTTTACCAGGTAGGGAAAGTTTTCTATCATTATTTCTTTCAATAGTCCTTCAAGATCCTGCTTGCTCTCCCCTG